AATTATTTTTTAGTTATTTGTTATATATATATATATATATATATAAAAGAAAATTTTTATTATGTGGTAATATATTCACATACATTTTCTCTATTGAAGTGTATATTCAATATTTTAACAACACTGCTCATACTTGCGCATAAATTCGGCAAACATTCCATTACTGCATCCGTATTCTTGTCACGTATCGATACATATATTTCAAATGTCTAACATATTCCAGATTCCGAGTGTTTAACAATATTACCTAATTATTTACTTTGTTTTACGCGTAATTTGTTATATTCATATTTTTTATTTTATAATTGGTATAACGTTCATGTTTTCCTTACCGTTGGTATAAATATAGCTATCATGCTAATCAACATAATAATTGTAATAATATTTCTGTATTTATATTCTTGATATGGATCTTGTCCCAAAAATTGTAAATATTTTTTAAGAACTTTATAATAAGGAATGTCGAATATATTAGAATATCTAATCTCTCTCTCTCTTCTTGTTTTCTGAAATACTTTAAATTTAAATTAATTCCATGAAAAATTTATTTTTTGATCAACTATTTTAAATATTATATAAATATTAATTAAGATTATGTTAATTAAAGTAAATATATCTCGATAACTTGTATCTTTTTATCTTACTATCCATATTTCCAAATTTTTTGAACAAAGATGTATAAGCAAATCTAGTGTATACATATAGCAACATATAGAACAGTTTTAACAGAACTGTCGAGAAAAATAAAAAAAAATTCTTTATAAAGTCAGGATAGAAAATAATGTATAGTGAATTGATAATATGGTAAAAGAAAGTTATAGGTCTTTTTTGCTCTATAGCAGTGCTGTTATTCGCTTCGATTATTGTAACAAACGATAATTGTCCTTTCTGAGTAAATATATATTATTATATCATTATATCAGAAATTTATGTGATAGCTATCGTTGTCCTTTCTAGACAATATATTATTGTATGTCATATCAGAAATTTATATGATATGTAGAGATAAAAATTATGAAAAGTGATAAATTATCACTGCTTAGAACTTTCAGACCCAGTAACTCAGAATGTGAAAGCTGTTACTTCTCTTTCTTAAATCGATATTCTAATTTGTTGAAAAATTCAGTGATTGACAAACAATTAATCAACAAAATCTTTTGAATTAAGAAAAAAAAAAGGAAAAAAAATAATAATATTTCACTTACCCGAGCTTTAATAACTTATCAGAAGTTATTATTTGTGAGCATGACAATTTAATTTATCCTTATTTTTATACAAAAATCTTCTTAAGAAAAAAGTTTTGTATTTTGAAAAAGTGATAGCTTCTCTCTTTTTATATATTATCAATAAAATTAAAAAATTTGAAATTTATATAAATTATATTTATTATAAAAATCGATCGATCTTCAAGTTAAATGTATTCAAAATAACAATGTGATGTTGATAGTGAAATAATTAAATTTAAATATTAAATTTACAGATATGGTCACATTTAATTGAAATACAATATTCAAAGCAGATTTAAAGAATCAAATTTAAAAATAAATCTAAAATTTTACGAAATCTTTTGATAATTCAGAGGAAAAATTTCTATATTTCTAGATAATAAAAGTAAGTATAATATTTAAAAGTAATATAATTATGTTAAATATTTTTTAAAAAATGCAATATTATTTTCATGTTTTAATAATAATAGTATCGAAGACATAAGATTTATATATTTATTGTATATATGCTTTATTTATGTGAAAATTTATTTGATATATCGTATTTTGACACATACATATTTAATATTGTAATACAATATAAAGTAAATATGCATTATCACATCCATATAAATAATTGATTCTTAGGTCAATGCCTTTTCATTAAAAATCAGAATCAGCAAGAGAAAATCATTTTAATAACGAATCAGTCTTGTAAAGATAGGAAAATAGTAAAGTACGACATACATGTTTTCAATGCCTTGAAATATTAAAGAATATTGATTATAGATCATTATTATTTATGCTATATAATGAAATAATTATATATCAATATTTTATATATTATTACATACTATTCCAAAATTCTCGATATTCAATTCCAATATTCCTCCTGCAGTTAATTTACATGGTTTACTAGATTTTATTTGTATTATATGAAATATTTTTTGAATATTTGGAGGCATTCGGTACCATGTTGTACAGTATCTATTATAAAAGTAATATTAATATTATATAAAAATTAATATAAATGCGAATAAAAATATTAATTAATTATGAAATTGATAATTTTTTAAAATGATTAAAATATATTTTTAATAATTATGAACATACATATTACTGGCTAATTTTGAACTTTGATCCGCAATCACTTGTCCAGTTAGAGTAATAATAAATAAATGAAATTGTATAGCCATAAGAAATAAACTAATTCTGAAAGCTTCTTCAGGTTTATGCAGATACATAACGATCTAATAAAAAATGTTAAGTATGTTTAACATTCCATGTGTTAATGTTTATTGTAAAATAAACATTATAATAAAATAATTAATAATTCTTACTTGTACAGCTGTTATACTAATGCCGATTATACTTAATAATATTGAAAGAATAATTATTACGACTGCTTTTATTCATTATCTCGAAAAATCTTGAAATATAACAAAAAAAATGAATAAAATGAAGTTAACTTTATATAATTAATTATTTTACTAACTTGTAGGCTTTGTTATGTGTGATCACACATTGTCTGAACAGTTCATTTTCATTTATGTTTATGTCATTGCATTCTGTTGCTTTCGCAATCTGATACCTATATATATTTTTACAGTTTATAACAGTTTTTTACAGTTATATATTTATTTACAGTTTACAAAAAATATTTTATGTTAAAGCAAATCTGCACAAATTCAATTAATGGAAATAATTTAAAAAAGAGATCATTTTTATAATTTTTTATAAATAATGTACCGAAATAGAATCTTATGAAATTATTCTTTACAATATAATATTATCCACAAAAAGTATTTCTCTCATATTATTTTACTTACCCGCATATAGCAAATAAACCGGAAGCATGATGTATGATAAGCATATATAATGAATCTATAGTGACAGTAATCATTATAATTACAAATGAACTCCAAACTGAATGGAAATAAATAGGATAAAAGTATTGATCTTCTTTTATAAAATATTTCATTTTAAATATTTGTAATTGTTGGCGAGTTTCATTAAGCGGGAAAACAACATCCAAAAACGAAGGAAACAATGGAAGTAATAAAAATAGTAGCAAAGCTGACAATAAAACATCTAAAAATAATATTAATAGCAATCAAAAAATTATTATATTTAAGAAAATTTATATTATATTATATTAAATTTATATTATATTTATTATGTTTAAGAAAATTAATATGTAGAAATATCTTAATATGTAGGATGTATAAAATTCATTTAAAAATGATCTATCACAATTACTTTTATATATTTCGGCAAATTTATTTCCCTGTTTAGTAAATTCATCAAGAATACACGTTTGATTTCTATCATTTTCCATTTCCCATTCTTCTGACATGAAATCGAACAGTTTATCAAACTGAAAAATATATTTGTATTCTGTGATTTTTGTTTTCACCATATAATTTTTCACGAAATTAAATAAATAAATACATTTTTCTTATTAATTCTATGATTTAGCAATTTTATTGCACAACTTATTGTTGCAAATACTATAGGTATAATTTCCATCAAAGCATTCAAGTTCTTTTCTACAATTGATGTGTAAACTTGTAACAGCTATCGAATAGAAAATTTTTATTATATTATGATATTATTCAGTTAAATTAAATTATATTTATAACATGTTTTTATCTATTTCATAAAAATTTGTATATTTAAGCAATTGCAATCTTTTCACTTACCCCTGGAATTAAAAAACTTATTAAACTGCATATCATCACATTTGTATTAAATTCCTTGTTCCATCGTGATTGATTTGGATATTGTCCCAAGAACTTTAAATATTTTTTAAAAGTTTTATAATAAGAAATATCAAATACAGTGCTTTTGTATTTTCCATTTTTCTGGAACACTAAATAATATATGTAATATATAGATATATAGAGTTATTATTAGTTGAATAAATACAATATTTCTTTTGCAATTTCATAAAAATTATTTTCATTTCAAAATTATTATATAATAACTTCTAAATTATAATACTAATTATATTTTATTATTATTGTTGTTAATTTTAATATAGAAATAATCTATGTTTCTAATGAAATATTTATTTTTTTTATAATTTAATTTTGTTATATTCGTATTATATTCATAATTATAAACTTTATATCATAAAATAAAATAATAAGATGTATATTGAATTGATTTCATACTATTAGAATTTTTTTAGCTATAGTAAAAACTTGAATTGACAAAAAAATGTATAGCCGTAGATGTTTATCTAATACCGATCTACTAAGAATGGTTTATAAAAATTTTTCTTTATAAAGTTAAAGTGAATGTAGTGTTATAAAATTTTAAAAATTTTATATATTTTTAACGAGGATAGTTATCATGATTGACAAAGTAAATGTAACGCCATATTTTTGTTTCCCATCATAAGTCATCGTTATATGCAGCTATTTATTATGTAATTTTCTATACTACAGTATTATTTAAAAAAGTGTAATGTAGATAAAACTTTTGATTGACGTTTAAATTTTTTCAAACCTTATTTTGAATTGTAGAATAATATTTGTAATTGGATTTAATAACAAAAAAAACAAATATTTTTTATGAATATTTCAAAATAATTTCAAACAATAATAAAATTTTTATGTTGTAAATTCTGAATTTGTAATTGTAAAAAAATTCCGTAATATAAGATTTCTAATAGTGTGTTTTCAAGAAAAATTTTTTTATTTATCTCAAGAAAAACTTTTTATTTATTTAAAATAAATTTACAAAAATATTTTAATAATTTAATTTTTTTAATAATTTTATAAAAAAAATAATTTAAATGTATTATTTTTAATATAATTTTTTAAAATTATTAATATTTTTATAGCAACGGTAGATATTTTAAATAAAATTTCATTATTTCAATTATATATATAATATTAGTATGAAATAAAAGAAAAGAATATTATTAAAAATTTTTATTGTATTAATACATTTTCATTACAAAAAAGTAATATTTCCTATAAAATATTTAAATATTCCCACACTTTATATATCATTTTATTTTCAAAAGATGTCACTGTAATAACATACAATAACTGTAACCTTAGTATATTGTGGTTACGAGTTACCTATCCAGTATCGAACTCTGCATTGCAAGTTTCAGTTACAAACGTACTCGGGGTTTGTTGTTCATTCGCTTGGTGTGTTGTATGTGTTTATATTGGTTTTCTGTGTAAAAACTACAAAATTTTCATAATGAGTGCTGAAGAAGAAGTTTTACGAATCCAAAAGAAATTGAACAAGATGTCGAGCGGTGACGGGACGGTGAGTAAGTGAGTAAAATATAGTTGTGTATCCCACTCGGCATATTGGAGGCTTAATAAAGCTCTTTTCCAATATTATAAAGTACGATTATATTGTAACGTGTAAATGTGAATAAATATAAATCTATTATCATTCGAATTTTTTCTGAAAAAATAAAAGTTTATTCGTAAGAATATTTTATTGACACAAACATACGATATTAACTGTAGTTTTACAATGTATTATAGAGATTTAATATCTGGTACACTAATTTTAATGCGTTCATAAAACATTGCCAAAGTTAGATCATTTTTTTATTATAAAAGTTTACCAAAATATATGCTATAAATCTTTTTATTCATATGAGCATTGAATATGTAATTAAAATCTTTAATTACATTAATTCAATATAAATAAAAATATTTTATAATTCGATTGTTTATATTAAATATCGTTTTAAAAAGTTGTTATAATTTATATCATTGAATGAAGTTGTTTATACATGTTTTAATCATAAAGACATAATAATAATATATTCATTATATAAAAAATGATAATATGATAAAATATAGTATTTTGAGTTTAAATTAATTATATTAATACTGTAAGTTTGGAAAATTATTTAAATATAATATATTTACATGCAGTTATGATTATAAAAAATGATTATACATTATGATTATACGTTGTGAAAAATATACGAATGAATCATATGTATTTTGTATTTTTTTATATTAAAAAAAAGTTTTTTCATTACAGGGACAAGAACAAGCATTGGAATTACTTAAAATATTACAAAAATTGCCAGTTGATTTAGAACTGTTGACAAAGACGCGAATTGGAATGACAGTAAATGCATTAAGAAAATCAAGTAGAGATGAAGAAGTTATATCATTATCTAAAACACTTATTAAAAACTGGAAAAAATTCTTATCTGGTAAAAAAATAAATTTATATGAGTAAAATATTATAAGTATAATAAATTTTAATAAATAATTATATAAAATAAAATTACATATTATAACTTTTTTTTCTAGGATCTAATAAAGAAAAAGATTCTACTTCTTCAAGTAGTTCGAAGAAAAAAGATGATAAATCAGAAAAAAATAAAGACGATGGAGATCAAAAAAAAGATAAAGATAATGCAGATGGAAGTGATGTCAAAATGAAAGAAGAAAAACCTCATAAAGATAATCAGAGAAAACAATCAACATTTCCTGCTCCTACAACAACAGATGCTGTAAGACTTAAATGTAGGGAATTGCTGGCAGCAGCTCTAAGAGTAGATGGAAACACAATTGAAGGCTGTGCTACTCCTGAAGAATTAGCAGAAGAATTAGAAGAAGCAATTTATGCAGAATTTAAAAATACTGATAATAGATATAAAAATAGGGTAAACTTTTATTTTTTAAATATATTTTATTTTAATATATTTTATCATAAATATAATTTAATTATATGTTTTATTGTCTAGGTGCGAAGTAGAGTTGCTAATTTACGTGATATAAAAAATCCTAATCTTCGAACGAATTTTATTGCTGGTGCTATTACACCTGCTAGGCTTGCTGTTATGACTGCAGAAGAAATGGCAAGCGATGAAATAAAACAATTAAGAGAACAGTTTAAAAAAGAGGCAATCAATGATGCACAACTTGCTACAGTGCAAGGAACGAAAACTGATCTATTAAAATGTGGAAAGTGCAAAAAACGAAATTGTACTTACAATCAAGTGCAAACGCGTTCAGCTGATGAACCTATGACTACTTTTGTGTTATGTAATGAATGCGGAAATCGATGGAAGTTTTGCTAAATATTTTTACTTCCATAATTTTTTCTGATTGTGAAAAAAATGGAAAGAAAAATGTATTTCGTTCAAGACTTATCTATTAATAATTATTATTAGAGTTAAAAGTCACTGAAAATATATTTACCATTCACAGATTGCATTATACACTTAGTGTGATTTTAATCTTTTAAAATATTCAATTTTTATTCTATTGTATATACTGGCATTGTCATTTATAAAATCTCAGCTTTAAAAAACTCAGCTTTATCAAATTATCAAAAAGTTATCAATTATTAAATTAAATAGATTACTTTTAATATTTTTTTCTTGTTTTAAGACCAGCAGTCTTTGCTGCTAAAGACCTTAATTTGTGAATGAAATTAAATATTTGACTTTGAATTGTATGAGTTTATATCTTATCTGTGAAGAATTCAAAATTGTGGGTACACTTCTGAAATACATATATGTAATTATAATGTAGTATTTTTGGAACCCTTTTTAATAATATAATATAATAGTCAAAATTAAGTTAAAATATTAAAAATGTGATATACATTGTGAATATAAAAATTTTATTTCTAAAATTTTGTATAGTTTGAAAAATTCATGATTTAATAGATTGAATAACAACTGTATTCAATTTTTTCCGATTGATTTTATTATATTCTTGATAGTTTTTATAAGTCACCGTTAGAGACCGCCACAGGATTTCGATGTTTCTAGCAATTTAGACTTAACGGTTTACGCACTGCGCGTATACTAATTTCTAACCTAATATCAATGTCATTTGTGTTATTCTATGTTCATGTAGTATAACATTTATATAGTATATTTTCTAATGCTTTCTAAATCATTTATGAATTATTAGTAAGATCAAATAAAAAAATGAAGTTACGTGATTTTATCTACGTTAAAAGATAACGTATAAATATATAATAACAGCTTTACTATAATGATATAATTTTCAAATAATGTCTTTTGAAATTAATAGAAGATTCGAAAAATATCAACAATAGCATAAGCAATGTTTTCTAATACCTGTACATAATGTTTGTATATAATAATTATTGACTTGTTTAAAATATTTTATGACGTAACAAAAATAATTCATTAAAGAATTAGTTAAAATATAAAGTGAATGATTTCTAATAGTCACTATGTGTGGAGACGCCCATATCAAAGAGCAATGGCAACTTTTACAAAGTCTTCGATCTATTGTAGAAGGATTGTTAGTTGATGGTGTTTTAAACGTATGGAATGTTTATGGTGGTTTAAATCGTCTTCACAATGTAATGGAACGGATATTCAAACATGGCTGTCGAATATTTAATCGAAATGTAAGATAATATTTTCTTTACATCGTTTTTGTTTTTACAATTCTATGATTTATTTATATTTATAATTTGTAATATTTAATTATATTTTATTTCTTTCTTTGTATTATTTCACAAAATAGAATCTTTTTCTAAAAAGGTAATATAATTCTATTCTCTGTTATAATTATTTGTTTACATTGACTATGACATTAATTTTTTTGTTGAGAATGTTTCATTGTTTATATCTCTAGCAATCTTGACGTTTTTATTTATTTTTAATATATTTTTATTTACATATAAAATAATAAATAATGTAATATTAATATTGAAAAAAAAAATAAAAATTAATAAAATATATTAGGGAGAACCAGATTGTTGGATTTTTATTCAAGGATTAAATTGGCTACAGCCCTCTGTTGCATTGTCACCTATTGTTTCTGATACAGAAGATTATCTCTCAAATTTACCAACTCGAATCATAGCACATAAAGATATGTTATGGTTGTACAAAAGGTAATTATAAGAAATATCATTTGAATTTTTTAATATTTTATAATAAATATTTTCATTTAATATGCTGAAATAAATTAATGAGACATTCATATTATAAATTTATACATAATTCAATAATTATTATAATTATAATATAATTTAATTATTATAATATAGTTTGGAAAATCATTCTTTGTCACACAAACTTTCATGGCTTTTGTCTGATAAGGAACATTTATTTTCTTGTTTTGAACCATGGGCATTTTTATGTCAAGAAAATTTAGCTGAAGCTACATTATTATGTTTAAGAGCAGTTGAAAGAAATCAACCTACATTACTTACAGAAATTGATCCATCCTTGGTAAGTAAAACAAATTTTATTTTCTATTGTTGTCTTTATATGATTTCTTGTATGATATTTTGATTATTTTTTTACTTAATATATTTTTTTTTTAGTTTTTACCTTCTTGGATTGCTCCTAAAATAAATCAAAAAAAGCATCGTAGATCTTCTTCATATCCAATAAATTTTTCAACCATAAATTTTAATGCAAGAGATAAAACTGTACATGTTGAAAAATGTCAATTAGAATCATTAAAAATAGCTTCAGATAATAATATGCAACATGATGTTAAATCTGATGAAAAAATTCAAGATAAAATATCAGATTCTAAAGAAATTAATGATATACCTTTAAAAAGTTGGAGTAGTCTTTCAGCATTAACTAAAAATTGTATAACTCTAGAAAAAAATGTTTCTATATCTTCATCATATATGGCAAATAATAGTTCACATAAAAATCATGATTCTCAAACATCTTCTGTTGAATTATCAAAAATAATTAATGTAAATTATGCTGAATTAAAACATTCAACATCAACAGTTATAGATAATAAATTACTTATAAAACCAAGAACTCCCATAAGGAAAATGAAAAATAAAACTAAAATGAAAGAAACTCAATATATAAAAAAATCTAGTGAAGATTCTGATACATTGAATAATGAAGATGTATCAATAAATACAGTAAAGGAATATCGAATTCCATCTCTTATATCAAATGAAACAAGTTCAAATATGTATAATACAAATTCTACTGAAATAGAAATATCACAAAAACCAAGAAGAAAAACTTCTTTTTTACCAGGATCAGCACCTGAATTCATTAATCCATGGAATTTAGAAATTGAAGGACAAAAAGATATAAGAACACCAAAGAAAACTTTCATGGAAGATGGTGGGAGCAGTGTTCAACCTATGGCAATAGGATATTTTCCATGTCCAATAGAAGGTCAAAGTTTAACAAATTTCTTAGCATCTGCACAATTTTCTAGAGCAAATGCTGAATTGGATAGAGAAAACGCACATTTCAGTATTTCTGAGGCCATGATAGCTGCCATTGAACAAGTAAAATGTAATAGACAATGGCGTCTTATGGAAGAAGCAATTGAAGAAAGCGATGAAGAAATAAATAGCTTAAAACAAAGAATACGATTAAGACGCCGTCAACGACAAGAAGAGCGATGTAAAAAAAGGACGTGGAATCGTGAGTTATTAAGCGATGGCAAAACGGATACGACTACGACTGATCAAAGTGTTAGTCCATTATCAACCTCGTCTGATACTCCATCAGAAAATATATCCACTGATGACATAGAGGATTTAGAAGTGGATGACGAGCGAAATGCAATAAAACTTAAGAATGCTGGGATTTCCATATCTATGGCATCCTTATATTCTGATGCAGATTTATATCAATCATCCCCTGCTCATGAAACGGAATCAACATTAACAGAAAGTAGCATGTCTGCAGAAGGAGTAGCTTTATCACTTCTTAGCAAATTTAGTGAAAAACAATTACCGAGAGCAAGCGAATTACAATGGCTGGTTTCTGAAATAGATGTACCACAAAGATTATTACCATTACCAAAAAGTTGGCCAATTAATCCAGATGATGCGGAAAATTCACAATCAATTCCTTTGCGCGGAACTACAGATTGGGCTCCACCAAGGCCTCAAATTATTTTTACATCACATCCTCCACCAGTGTAAGTTTATAAATTTAAAATATATATATAAAATTAAAATATATTGTATAATTTTTCAATTAAATTTGATATTTCTTAGGCGACGCACTCTTATAGCTAAACAGAATTATAAATGTGCAGGATGTGGAATGAAAGTTGCGATAAAATATGCAAATAAATTTCGTTATTGTGAGTATTTAGGTAGATATTTCTGTACTGGATGTCATACCAATCAAGTAGCATTAATACCAGGAAAGATTTTATCTAAATGGGATTTTAATAGGTAAAAAACTAATGTTATTCATATATTTATATAAAATTATTAATATTATAATTATTAATTATTTTTCCATTTAGATATCCTGTATCAAACTTTTCATATAGATTATTGGATCAAATGACATCAGATCCATTATTTCAAATAAATGACTTGAATCCATTGTTATATAGACGTATAAAACAATTAGCCAAGACAAGACTATTACGTTCACAATTATTTTTTTTTAAAGATTTTCTATTTACCTGTCGATTCGCAACAAGGTATTTATTATTCTTTTTTAATTATTTTAAAAAATAATATTAAAATAATATTAAAATTTATTATTTTTTTTTTTTAGTGTTCAAGATATATTAAAAAAGGAACCAAATTATATAATAAGCGAACCTCATATATATTCTATTCAAGATCTGATGCATGTTAAGTACGGTATTTTACCAATGAGACTACAAGAATTAGTTCAAATGTGTAATATGCATATTATGGGCTGTGAGGTAATGTTAAAATTGATTTAGATTAAATATGCATATCAATAAGAATTGATCTTACTTTTAGTTATGCCAAGCTAGGGGATTTGTATGTGAATTATGTTATTCCAAAGATGTCATATTTCCATGGGAATTCTCAAAAGTTAATAGATGTGAAATGTGCGGTGCATGTTTTCATAACGAATGTAAGCAAAATTTTAATAAGATAGATTGTCCGCGCTGCATTCGTTTACGTGCTAGACGAATATCTAGAGAACAATTTTGACATATAGCAAAATTGTTTTGCATCATATCTTTACCTATGAGTATCAAATGTATAATTTAAAATTTATTTAAATCAGATATAAAAAGTTTATAAAAAATCAGATATTCCCAAATTTGGTTTTTATTTAGTTCATATTTAATATATAATAAAATTGTTAAATAATAAGTAAATTTGAATTACAAAATTATCAAATAATTTATCAAATATTATATTGTTAATTATATATAAAATACAGAAAAAATATTGCTTGAAATTTGGAAATATAGTATTTTATACAAAAATTTATTTAATACGGGAAATATAGTAAAGACTGAGAAAAAAATGTGATATTTAAAATAATTGTAACTTTATTTTTAAATTTATCTATTATTTTACGTACTTCATATATTATTTATCCATCAATTATTACGTATTTTGTTATCAGAAAAATGGAGATAATTTATGACTTATTTATAAAATTTTTAATTTAAATAATATAAATTATTTCATTGTTAAAAAATAATGTAAATATGTACCATGTTATTTGAAGTATTTATATTTTGTTTTTATTTTTTAACTATGAATCTTAATTATTTAGACTTTTAAGATAATTTAATAAAATTAAAAATAACTTATTGCATGTTACAAATAATAATTGTAAAATGGCAATAACATTTTAAGTATAATGATTTATAAAAATGTTACCTTTGTACTGGAAAAAATACAATAGTCATAAATGCTGTACCTGGTTCCCGTCATGATTGAAAGTATGCATTGTTTATTTATAAATAAAGTTGTTAATACGATCGGAGTTTATAATAAAATATCAAAATTTAATGTTGTTTTATTTTCTAAAAATATTTTTGATATGTCTTTTTTGAATATTATATTTTATATTAGGTACTAATATAATAAAAAAGAATATACAAAAAATTAAAAATCTTTTTTGATTTTATTAAATTACATTTTGTTTACAATGGTTCACATACACACATCTTACAAAATAATAGATAATAATACATTTATTGCTGGTACAAAAATATAATGATATTATGTACACCACCTAATTTCAATAAGTCCTAGAACCGTACAATATTTCTATATGATAAATTTTTATTGTAAAGGAATCACTTTAAATTTGACCTAATAATTGTTAAAAATATGTACACATCGATAATTGTGATCTATATGTACAATTACTCTCTTGATATAACATATATTTTTCTAAGAAAAGTCCTAGATAATAATCCTTTTCTAATTGCTAGGTAATGTAACTTGTATAAATATTGTTTATGAGAAAATTTTGACGA